TTAAAGGCACCAAGATTTCTCTTGTTCCAATTACAATGGAACAGAGTATGGGGTGTAGAGATAGACTGCAGAAGCATTACCAAGTGCTTTACTCTGACCACAGGACATCACCTTCCCTAAAACCTCTACCTTCAGAAATGTAAATAACACATTTTTTCACAGATTTCACTACTGTGTTAGAAAAGAGCAAATCATGAATATCTGGGGGAATTTCACCAAGCATTGTTGCATCATACTTCCCAAATGATAGGTTTGACAAAGTCATTACCAAGAAACTAATTTAAAATGCAAATCTCTGAGATAGATGGAAATTCCTGTGTATATAATTTTTTTTACTTTAGGATACAATAAATGTATGAACTGTTTCACTGAGTGATAATAATCAGTTTTACACTGTCTGATTTTCTAATCTTGATTTTCCATGAGTAAGGCACTCACCAAATATTTTCTCTATTTGCAGTGATGACTACTGATGGCTGCTTTGCTTCAGTAGTTCCTGGCAAGAGCCAATTGTCAGGATGTATCGAAGTATATGTTCTCTGTGAGTGCTATTCAGAGATCTACTTTCCAGAATGAGAAAATAAACTCCTTGGAACATTTTCATTTGTGATGGCCCAAGGATTGTCCCAGATTTGTTTACATGCCCTGAACTTACTATTCCTCTATCTGTCAGTCATTGAACACAGGGTTAACTATAAGATGTTTATACCCCAGCTTGGGCAGTTAGTTATCTGGGTTGTATGTTTGACTTATGAACAGCACTACCTATGAGCTGCCAAGTACATATTGCCAATGACTGGAGATAGAATCATGAATATTACTAAGTGATCTTCTTAGAAATCCACAGTATTTACTGCTCATGTTTTTCACCACACTCCACTGTTGATCATACCAACATACATGTAATTCTTTTACTTACATTTGAAATCACCTGCAGGAAATATAGACAACTTCTCCATTTTCTTTTGGTCAGATTTTTTATGTGATTATGGACACCAAAACTTTGCCAACTTACTTGTGGAACTTTGTAGAGTTCTAAAAGTGTTGCAATTGCAGCCGAAAATTCAGGCCTCGTTCCTGCAATGATTCCAAGAGCTTTGTGTTGAGTTTTGCATTTGTAGTTAGGGATAAACTCACTCCTTCCAGACAGCCACATCAGAGGGCCCTCCAAGGTTCTCCGGTGGGAGCTAAAGGCATTGTAGAGGTGGAAACCCAAGGTCACATTGGGAAGCAGGTGGACATCCTTATTGATCTCCTCCATGGCAAAGTAGAAGGCCAGCAAATATTGATAGTTTTTCCATCTCCCTCTAAACAGGAGGGGCAGATTGATGGGTACAGTCAGGCCATTGTTCTTAGAAACTCCTTAGCAAATTCAGGAAATTAGAGGTCATTAAGTCCTGACTTTTTTCCTGACACATAAAGCTTGTGTGAATGAGCCCCTGACAGCTCAGAAACATCATGGAATGACTCATGAAGTCTCAGTACTTGGTTTCTTGTAGAGCATAGTGTGGATTTAGTGTCACTTGTCTGTGTCCTATGGCTGCTGAGTACATGGTGCTTATGATGTTTCTATTCATGGAAGCATTGGGCGAGGGAAGAGTCACTAATGTTTTCTCTAAGATTGTGAATAAGGGTTTCATATCCTTTTATTTTGTAATGATTTGATTTCATACTCATTCAGAAAAGTGTAATAATTTTGTTTGCATGCATGCCTAGTGTTAAAGTGTTCCATTTGGAGACAGACAGAGAGCTAGGCACTAGGCATCTGCCTCCTGTTGTAGAAAACCTTGCAACAATCCCAGAACCTACATGGTGGCTCAGAACCATCTGTAGATCCATTCAGGAGCTCCTCTTCTAGCGTATTTGGGCCCCAGGCACACATGTGGCATACACACATATATAATAAGGAAAGTACTCAAACACCTGTCATAAAATAAATAAACCTTTTTGGAAGGCTTCTGGGGCTTGAGAAGTGAATGAGAGGTTAAGACTACTTGCTGTTCTTGGGGAGCGCTCTAACAGGTCAATGAAGCTACTCTTTGGGTTACAATAGTGTATACCAGTTTTAAGAAGTTATGTGTTCTCCTCTGGCCTCTTCAGTCAGAAGACACACATATGGTACACAGATAGACATGTAGGGAAAACACTCATAGACATAAAATAATAAAATTAAAAATCGAAAAACTAATAAAGAAAGGAGAGTTTCTCTAAGCTTGCAGATTAAATGAGTGATTGCGTCTTTTGTGTAAGCCAGTAAAAGAATCAAAGTTCATGAAAACAGAATATGAAAAAGAGGAAAAGCTCCCAAATCCATGAAGGCAGTGAAGCGTGCTCAGAACGAGAGGAAAGGAAACTTTGGAAGCAGGAAGTTGGGCTGAGCTGTCTCACACATGTCATTTGGTGGTTGGGGAGTGGTCCCTAGGAGCTGCTTTCAAAACTTTGCTTGACAAGAGCCTGCCTAGTCCCACTGCAGACAAGTCAGAGAATTCATGAGGCCCAAGTCCCCTGGGTTCTGTTGAAGCAGAATCTACCTAGAGGCCTGCGGGCAGCAGGAAGAAATGCAGTTTGTTTACACTGTGTTAATTTTAGATCTATGGCTAGATCCTCTGTTAAGAGAGAATCTGTTATTCAAAACCTAGTAATTGGAAGCTATGGAGAGAGGGAGAAATTATTCTTCCCCACCGATTATCCAATACCAAATTATCCAATACCAATATTCAGCAGTAAAAGTGTATACATGGCTATAAATGTATACATGTGTATCAATGTATGCATGTATATAAATGAATACATGTGCATAAGTGCATCTATGTGTACAAATGTATGCATGTGTACAGATGCATGCATGTGTATAAATGAATACATGTATAGAAATGTATGCATGTATATAAATGCATATATTGTAAAAATGCATAGATGTGTATAAATGTATTCATGTATAAAAATGCATATGTGTGTATAAATGTATGCATGAGTATAAATGCATGCAGTTTTATAAATGCATACATATGCATAAATATATGCATGTATAGCATCCTATAGTCTATGCATGCTTATAAAAGAATACATGTGTATAAATGCATGTATGTGTATAAATGAATACTTGTGTATGAATTATGAATTTCTATAAATGCATACATGTGTACAAAACAATGAATGTGTACAAATATATACATGTGTATAAATATACATGTATAGAAATATAAGCATGTGTATAAATGCATACAGGTATATAAGTGCATACATGTGAATATAATTGTATACTTGTGTATAAATACATACATGTGTACAAATTCATAGATGTGTTTAAATGCATACATGTGTATAATTGTATGCATGTTTATAAATACATACATGAGAATCCCTGGAAAGAGCCGTGTCTGCAATCTTACTGAATATAACCTCTGTGATATGGGTAGGTTGAAGTATTGTAGGTCTAGAGACTCATTAACTTATTCCAGGGTAACTGTAGCACCCTGAACAGCCATTTTTTGGACATGTGTGCAGGTGAGCTAACCTCCTATAACTAGTTAATTATATATGTTTGAAATCTACTAACTTATGAGACAACTGACTTCCAACAACCTAAAAGCTAAAAATGACATTGCATAGCATCTTGGGCCTGTGGGATAAGTTTTCACATCTTGCCCGTGACTTCCTCTCTTTTGTTTTCACTAATCTTTTGATTTACAAATTTCTTATATTTTACTGCAAAAACTTCATGAAACTGCCCCCACCTTGGAACATGGAATCTGGGGTCAGCCAAATCTGTGTTCACCAGCCATAGTCACTCAGATTTGTTTCTAGAATGAATTGTCTCTTCTGTTTGATCTGAGGGCTGAGGTTTTTCCTATGACACAAAAGCAATACTCAACACAAAACAATTGTTTCAGCTGGTTAAATTTGTGTACTCATTTGTGCTGTGGGATGGTCTGTATGTCAAATTGCTCTGATTGGTCAATAATTAAAACACTGATTGGCCAGTGGCTAGGCAGGAAGTATAGGTGGGACTAACTGAGAGGAAAAAAGAAAGAACAGGAAGGTGGAGAGAAACACTGCCAGCCGCCGCCGCCATGATAAGCCACATGTGAAGACACCGGTAAGCCACAAGCCACGTGGCAAGGTATAGATTTATGGAAATGGATTAACTTAAGCTATAAGAACAGTTAGCAAGAAGCCTGCCACAGCCATACATTTTGTAAGCAATATAAGTCTCTGTGTTTACTTGGTTGGGTCTGAGCGGCTGTGGGACTGGCGGGTGACAGAGATTTGTCCTGACTGTGGGCAGGGCAGGAAAACTCTAGCTACACATTTGTTTATATATGTGTGCACCCTTCTTCATAAAAATCATAAAACAAAATTAATTTGAGAGCGAGTAGGGCTGGGAGGACAGGATAGAGTTGGAGGTAGAAAATAAAAGGGGAAATGATAGAATTGCATCTTAAATATTGAGGTGATGGGGAGCAGAAAGATCAAAATATATTGTCTGCGATATGTTTATGAGCACTGTACTTAGTCTGCCTGATGTCCCGAGTGATAGAAAGTATAGAACGTGTATGTTAGAGAGCAGGACTGCAGGGAAATTATCGATCAAAGGAACTAAGCAGCAGGTAAGCTATTCCAGGAATGACATAAGAAAGAGAGCCCAGCCCTGGGCAACCACAAAACAGGCTTCTCACCAAAGAGTTATCCTGGGGTTTGAATGAAACCTCTGAGCCTATGAGGTCAGTAAAAAGTACGGAATTGCAAACCTGTTCATCATTGCAGTGAAGGACAAGACTGTGACATTCTGTTGACAGTCTGAGAGTCACACAGTAGCCCTCTCGCCTGGTGATTAATACTGCACAGGTTTTCAAGGGTCAGCAGCTGTAATGTTCTCATGATATGGTGGCTTCCTGGTCTCAAGTCACCAAGGAGACATCCTCCAGCTAAACAGTAATCAGAGCAGGATGGTTGGGGTTGGCCCCAAAGAATGAGAAAATCTTGCTAGTTCTCAGAATTTACAACTCAAAGTGGCTACATGGCTCTGATGTTCAAATGGGAAAATGGCTCCTATGAGCACAGGTTGGTGGACTTCAGATTCTCATCCAATAAAGACTCAGGAAAAACATAAGCCAGAGAAAAGACAAGAGTCCACACTGTCAGCTGACCTCCCTCAATATGTTCATCTTCTTTTTTTAATTTTTATACTTGATTCAATTTTTCTCCACTCCATTTAGCAGAGTATGTATGCTGAAATTACTTGAGAATACGTTATATGCACAGCATATGAGTTCATCAAATCTGTGCCACCCCCATTACCACATATTCCTCCCTTATCCTTCCTGACACTTTCTCCACCCAAATTCAAGTGCATTCTCTGTAATTCCCCATAGAGTCCACTCTGCATTACCAGCATACGCATTGTAGTAAGGCCTTCTGCTGCAGTATGGGAATCCTCTCAGTGTTTACACTTTAAAGAAAACTGAATTTCCTATTCCTGGAAGCTACCAAATGCCAAAGGCTCCTCAGGCAGAATGATATTCACGATCCTCTATCCCATTAATGTGTTTGGCATCTTTTCCTGAAGGTCCTGTGCAGTAGGTTCGTGTGTGCCATGACCATGTGATGTAACGAATAATTTCACCCCAAATCATGCACTTCTTTTGATTCTTAGAAAAGTCTACCTGTCTTCTGACATGGTCTCTGAGCTTTGGGGAAAGAGTTTATGATAAACATGCCCCATGTAGAGCTGAGCACAGTCTCTTATTATATGGTTGGTGACCACTTACAGGTCTTTGCAATAACCCCCAGCTATTGGAAAATGAAGCTTCTCTGAAAAGGTATGAAGGAAGTATGCATTGAACAGTCCATATAAAGGTAAGAACTGAGGAGGCAGGTACAATATTTGTCAATTTAGCATAATAATTATAGTAGTTTTCATTTTGGATCAATGGCATGACTAGCCAGAGATTCTTAGGTCAGTTAAGGGAGTGAGGCATAAGATCTGTCTAATGGAAGTGGACTTAAATATGATAAGATTATTAAGAGTTACCCTTATAATATTCATGCCACTGTAAAGATATGCCACCAGTGTGCATATCTTTCCCTGCCAGTCATAGTTGTAGATTTCAGAAATCACTGGTGTGTTAGACAGTTGATTATGTTTGCTTTTTTTAAGTGCATAAAGCTTTTCAGCTCTGTGGATGCTAGAAGGTATGAATAAAGTTTCCATGTCAGCTGCAGCTTGATTTCTCCAAGTCCTATAACTCAAGTATGCAAACACCATCAAATTTTGGAGGGTAACCACGAACAACAGAAATAGCTT